GGCAGATCCTGTTTGCGATGAGTTTCACCTTGCGTGAAATCGTCGCTACAGAAAAAACTGCAGAAAAAAGCGGATTTGAAGATGCTCCGGTGGCAGAAATCCTTCCTGAACGTCAGAAAAGGTTCAGCAAAAATAATACGAATGGAGCCCCAAACCTGAATAATTTTTATTAACGACTGCAAGCTTTGGAGAAAAAGTAAGTCTGTCCCTCGAATCATCTATTCTAAACTTAATTTGGGTTCCTCAAAGTTCAGCGAAGAAAAATGCAAAGTTGGAACAATTTTCAAGAGATAGGTCTTAAAAAAGCAAGTGGCTCTTCCACAAATCTACAAGGGAAAATACTGGAAAAAATTAACTTACCTTGAATTTACTAGAATTCAATTCCTACCGCGCGAGCGATACAAATACAAAAGCTAATTTTCGTCTATTTTCCTCTCTAAACATTTTAAATTGTTTGTGCATTTGTATGTAGACAATACAAAATTTGAAGAATATAATGAGGAAATTATTTCGTTGGAGTAGTTTGCCAAATTAACACACTGTGTACTTGTTTTACATTTTGAAGTCTTTAATCAGTGCAGTTGTACGCTAAATTGGTGACGTTGAACTATAGAGTCAGTGGACAGATTAGTTTAAATCTCACGACACAAATTGTGTGATTTCTGTACTGCACAGTTGCACTGAATTAAGTTATCACAAAGGATTGTTTTTTAGCAGCAGTTATTGTCGTTAATGCAATGAATGTAATTTCCGCAGTAAATGAAACATTAGCATTTCCTATGTTTTTCTTACTAAGTTTTATTTGCCGTAGTTTATTAGAGTCTAAAGAATTTTAGTTGTAGTTTGTGTGGTTACTGTAGTTTGTACAGCAACTTTAGATTGCAAAGTTACTCTACTTTGTTAGTAACTGTAACTTGTTAGTTACTGCAGGTTGTGCAGTTACTATAATTCGTAAAGTTGCTGAAGTTTGTAAAGTTACTGTAGTTTGCGTAGTTTGTGAAGTGAGCAATAGTTCTTACTGTAGATGTTGTAGTTTCTAAAGTTGCTCTATTTTGTTAGTTACCTTAGTTTGTTTAGTTTATGTAGTTTGTGCAGTTGCTGCAATTTGTGTGGTTACTGTAGTTTGTGTAGTTTGTGAGGTTACTGTTGTTTGTGCAGTTACTGTAGTTTTTGTAGCTACTGTAGTATGTGTAGTTACTGTAGTTTGTGTAGTTACTGTTGTTTGTGTATTTACTGTAGTTTGTGTATTTACTGTAGTTTGCGTAGTTATTGTAGTTCGTTAGTTACTGTAGTTTGTGTCGTTACTGTTGTTTGTGTGGTTACTGTAGTTTGTGTAGTTATTGTAGTTTGCTAGTTACTGTAGTTTGTGTACTTGTTGTTCTTTGTGCAGTTACTGTAGTTTTTGTAGTAACTGTAGTTTGTGTAGTTGCCGTATTTGGTATAGTTTTTTCAGTTTGCGAAGATATTGTATTTTGTGCAATTCCTACATTTCTTGTTGTTACTGTGGTTACCGTAGGTGTAGTTACCGTAGCTGTAGTTAACGAAGCTGTAGTTTGTGCACTTACCATATTTATTCATCTATAAGCCGAGCGATTTTTTCACAAAATTTTACCAAAATCTCGAAAATTTGAGCGAGAGAAGGGTTCTCGGCTTATAGCCGAGTATTTTCCAAACATAATTTTTTCGAAACAACAAATTAAAAGGAAACATAGATATATTCGTCTATGAGCCGAGATATTGCATGCAGAAGTAAATAACAAAACAAGTTGAAGTTGCTCATTGACTTTATTTATGTGG